TTTAAGAGTTTAAGAGTTTAAGAGTTTAAGAGTTTTAGCCAAATGCATTATAAGATAGTATAGATATTTTGTCATACAGTAATTACGGTTAGCCAACATAAGTACAATTGACAAAATTAATTAAGAGACAGTCTTGAACCGTTAAGAGGTGAATTTTTGTTTGGTATTTTTTTTGTCTCTTAATGGTTCCATTAAGAGGCAGTCTTGAGTATCCCTTGACCATTCAGCGCCCTGTTTTGCACATTGAACAATTATCAAATAATTATATTTCATTTTGCACTATATTATAAGAGTATCTCAATCATCTTATATCAAATCATTCAGCAAATGACAAACAATTGCTTAGTAAAAAACAAAAAATTATTTGATAAACGTTGATAGTTTGTATTGTTTCTAATTATAATAAAATCATGTGCGAGTTTATCCAACAAATTACATATAAATTATATTTCAAATTAACAGTATTATCAGATTATGTCATTATTTTATAAGGGATTGTTTGTTTACCTCTTAATAGTTCCATTAAGAGGCAACATCTGAATCGTTAAGAGGTGAATCTTGTTTGACAAAATAAAAGTTTGTCTCTTAATGGTTCTAAAACAATCTGAATGATTTTGTATCTTGGATCTCCCTTAACCATTAAGAGCCCTAATTTCATTGTACACAATTACCAAACAATTATATTTCATTTTGCACTATATCATGAGAGCCTCTTAATTTAATAAAAAACAATTGAATTAAAATCTCAAATAATTATATTATTTTGTGTAAACTATGTTTTTCGTTCTTGTAGTTTGTGGAAAATTGCTATTTTTGTCAACATGCTTTCAAAATTATGGTTTTCCTCCTTATGGTTTATAATTCACGAGCAAGGTTCAAAAGGAAAATAAAAATTTAAAGATAAAATAAAAACAGAGGAACACCCTGATAACTATTAATCTGTACTGTATGTACACATATATACAAGTAATTGAAGATGTCTTATGCTTTTTATGCACATGTGCATATTTATGTACACATGCATATCGTATTGATGAATAGTTACAAGAGTTTTCGTCAGCTTTTCCTTTTTCATGAATTTCCTCCAAACTTGACCATATAATCCATTATCTGTTTTTGTTCATACAGTGTATAATTCATTGTTGTTTTTGTTTCTATAATTTAAAATTTATTGATGTTTTGTTTTTCATACTTAACAGTAAAACCATAGACAGACTCGGTCCCATGAATGAAAACATCAACGAATGAACCATAAGGATGGTATTCGATTGATTTGACCTTGAGTTCAAAAGGTCAAAAGTGCCTGGAGGTCCCAGGTTCGAATCCAAGGAGGAATAAATATCTCATTGTGGTCACAAATAATGAAATGCGGTGACTCCGAGCTACCAACAAAGCGGGTTATTGTCTTGGGATTAGTCGGCTCGTATAACGGGTTGGATTTCCAGATTAATAAAAAAAACATTAATGAATTATAAAATATAAGGACTAAAACTGTAATTTTTAAAACATAGAAACTAAAATCGTAATTTTTAACAAACTATAGGAAGTAAGAATGTAACTTATTTTCAATTTTTTTAAGAGTATATATCAAAGGAGACCCGTTTCCCTACCCATTTCCGTTTGGGTTCACAAACGCCGTCGGGGGGAAATCGGAATAACGATCGGAAAATGCAGTCCGCCGAGCAGTTAGTACTCGATCTCAGCAGTCCTGATCTTCGCGAAAATGCGCTACTTGAGCTTTCCAAGGTATGTGTACTCACTGAACTTCCGTTTTGGTGGATATGTTGGTCGTTTTATTCGCTCTTTTTAGGAATTAATTCGCGATGGAACCTAAGATTATGTGGATTTCTGAAGTTACGAGTTTGAAATTCGTGTTGAATTTGATGATTTTGAGGTGTGTGAACGTGAATTTGATCAATTGTGGTATTCAGTTAGGGAATTGTGTACGCCAACGAGGGCATAAGCTGTTAACATAACTTTCGTTTTATTGAGAGAATCATATACAAAATCGACATCTGACCTTGTTTGTGCCTCTCTTTAATTGGAATAAATATCAAACAACTGGATGTTATTAACCAGCTTTACCAATTCGCCTGTTATATACTGTAATGGTCGTCAAAGAATTGGTCTTTACTACTATAGATGTGAATCTGCCTTCTGTTTTACTTTTTGGAACTATAAATTATTTCTTGATTTCGCTTCTTCTATGTGGGATTCTTTTTGGACATTTGGTACTATTGCTGCACTCATTCTGGTATGCCTAAACGACTTTTTGTGCCTCTGTTTCTTCTTCAGAAGAGAGAACTGTTTCAGGATTTGGCTCCACTATTGTGGAACTCCTTTGGTACCATTGCAGCTCTGTTACAGGTCTGCTCTACTACTGATAAGATACTTCACTTTTTCTTCATATGTGCAGTATAGATCTTTTATGGATTTTCAGTGTGTCCGTCTCACAATAATTCTCAAAGTTTGTGTCTTTTCCTTTGATCTGCAAGACTCATCTTCACACACAATAAGTAGTTGTGGCCTATTCTATTTAATCTCCAACAAAGAAACCGACATATATAGCATTATCTAAGACACTACAGGAAATAATTGAATAATATAAAGGAAGGCGAATGTAATGGAATTTGGAACATAATTGCAAGAATATTGCATTCGAGGACATTAACTTATTTCTCATTCTTTTGCTTGTGTTATTGGGTGTTGGACCAGGCTTTATTGAGCTTATTCGAGGACATTAACTGATTCCTCTTTCTTTTGCTTGTGTTATTGGGTGTTGGGCCAGGTTTTATTGAGTCTTGAGCTTACTTGGGCACTTGTATCTTTTATGGTGTTAAGGATGAACTGGCTAGAATTTCGCACTTACAGTTGAAGTCTCCATACCATGATTGTCTGTTCAATATTTCTATGTTGTTCCGGATTTATTGATATCTCTATCTCACCAAAATCTTATTGAGTAGAAAGATTCAGCTTGGCTTCTTTCATATAATTAATTCTGTTCTATTTTTGTTCTATTCCATGTCTATTTTATTTGTCCATCATTTCTTTATGTCCTTATAGATGGGAAATGTTTAGTTTCCATTAGTGACAAAAGCATACAGATTCCTGGGATATGCAGTTGGCTAAAGCTCTATTGCCATAAAACATGGATTCACTATTCTTGTACTCTTGTGCCTTTCGCTTTGATGATTTACAGAATTCATAAAATGCAGTATTCTGTCATGTTTAATAACATAACTGATGCCAAGTCTTGCATTTTACAGGAGATAGTTTCAATATACCCCTTTCTCTCACCACCCAACTTGACTCCAGCTCAATCAAACAGAGTCTGCAATGCACTTGCGCTTCTTCAGGTGCACCTTTTAGTATCTGTACCTTTTTTTGTTGCATTTTCAGGCTTCCGAATCTTGATTCTCTTGGTTGAATACTAATTGCTATGGTTCGTAGTTTTGTTCATAGATAATGGTGAAAACCATGTTTAAAGTAAGATCCTGTATCACCATTCAGCATTACAACTATAATCATAGCTTATGTAATCTAGTGATTTGTTCTCTTTCATCTAGCATCAAGTACACATAGTTTCCTTATGTATTGACTTATATTATTCAAGTTTAGTTAACAGCAGGTACTTAGTATACTTAGTCTTTCATCCTCATAAATTTGTTTCCTATCAGCTTCTCTCATTGCTGTTTACCAAGATTTGCATTTATAATGTCATGGATCAATGAAAAGGCCATTTTCATGGAAGATTGGGACATATGATATAACAAATGAAAATTTAAGTTTGTTGCAGTTGGTGGGAATGTATGATTTTTTTAGAACATCATTCCAGGTGATTTTGTCAAAGCCACTTTTTAGCTGTTCTAAAATTGCAATTTTCAGTTAGACATATGGAAATGCAATTAGAACACTCAATATTTGTGGTCATTTGGTTTAGTAACATTCACATCTGCTTTTGGCTCAATGTCCTGGATAGTTAGAACTTGGTTTAGAGTTTTGTCTTCTCTTAGTTTGATGATTATTGACTGATGCAATCATGTTTTTTCTCTTTCCTTATTTTTTCAGTGTGTGGCTTCCCATCCAGACACAAGAATGCTGTTCTTGAATGGTAACTTCTTAGTTTTATGTCTGTGGTGTTGCTTTGCATCTCTTTCAAGTCATGAAATCAACAAATCACCTTGCTTTCCAATAGTCTTATGGTTGTTGTGCACTTGTGTTTCTTTGCATCTCTCTCGAGTCATGAGATCCAACAAATCCCCATGATCTCCGATAAAGTTTGTGTTTAAAAAAGTATTACCAGATTCTCTTGTATCCCCAGGAACCAGAATGAACTTGTGCATACTCTTTGGGTTGCCTTCACTAACCAATCCAAATAATAGGCAAACCAGTGGCAAATAGTGTATAACTAAATCACAAGAAAGAAGTGTTTTTTATGATGGTTGAGAAGGATACATGCATGAGGGGATGAAAGTGTGTGAGAAATGATATATCCTTTCATACTTATCTTTTAATATGTTACAATATAATTAAATTGGAAATAAGTCATCTTCTACTATTTCATTGCTAACCAAACATGTTATATCCTTCTCTTTTCTTATCTTTATCGCCTGAAAATCTTATGAAATGCAAGTCAATAAGAACGAAATTAGCAACATAATAAAGTATAGCTTCCTCTTCTTCTTTCATCCACAAAATATTACCACCGTATTTTGTTACCTCTATTTTAAATTCTAGCAGTCAATACTCCCACTCTATAGAATAGAATCAAAACTGGATCCTAATTTAGTGTAATATCATATTTCTATTAAGATGAACTAGCTTGATAAGATTTCTAACATTTATGAAGGTAGCCATAACCCATATTTAGATGTATTTGTGTACTGCACTTAAGTATTTAATATACCGCATACCAAAATAACATACGGAATGAGCCACAAAACCATGCTAACGACTATCTGTACCAGTTTAGCACACCCACACCCACGCCCATACCTCAAACCAACCATTTATCGAGTTCGGTAACATCATTCAGACATGAATAGAATCACAGATGATACCTATTCAAGTGAAGTATTCTGTAAAGTATATCACATGCACACACTTGTTTCAATTCGACTCCTAGAGAAGATCAGTGTCAACATATTCCTTGCTCATTCCTGGAATGTCAACAAGAAAATGAGCTGCTTTACAAGGGTGAGAGATCTCCATCAATTCCATAAATAGTTAACTGAACATTTTGTTTCAGCAAAAAATAAAAACAAAACAAGAGAAGGAAAAATAAAGAAAATAAAATTGGTAAATTTTGTTTGCCAGCATAGAAAATATGCTTTCAAGTTGATTCCAGATCAAATTATTACTTCTATTATTACTTGCCCATCCTTGTAACTTTTTGAAGTGCATCAAGTTTTCCGCAAGATAATTGACAATTTTTCAACAAATTTGTTCATTTCTGCAGCTCATATTCCTCTATATTTATACCCTTTCCTCAACACTACGAGCAAATCAAGGCCATTTGAGTATCTGAGGCTTACTAGTTTAGGTGTCATTGGTGCCCTGGTGAAGGTACTTCATTTTTTCTTACTATTACTCTCTCTTTTTCATATACCTTTCATTTCCAGCTTTTCAGATGTTCATAATTTCTCCCTTTTGTCACAACTTAACAAGCCGGGGGTCTTCATGGAAACAACCGCTCTACCCTTTGGTGGGTAGAGGTGAGGTCTGTGTACATCTTACCGTCCCTTGACCCCACCTCCAAGTGGGATATTAAGAGTTCGTTAGGTTTGTTTTTCTTTTTCTTTTTGAGTAATGCAAGACAATTTTTTTCCTGGAGCGATATGGAAGGATGACGTTCCATAATTGGGAACTGATATCTTTGACATACAATATGACCTTCATATTTTTAAGTGGGCTGCAACTGTTTATTTGACATTGAGCATTTGGGCAGGTTTTAATCTAGTTTTTGTTGTGCATTTATCTTATTAGTTGAGATGAAGTATTTCGACACGGAACTTCATTATTTTACGAGTGAACTTTGATTTTCGTCCCTGATCCTTAAAAACTGCTCTTGTTTGCAACTCGTTGCTTATTTTCATCCTTAAAGCCTGTTATGTTAAGGGTAATTTGGTCTTTTTACGCTTCTTTTATTTAACAGGTCGATGACACAGAAGTTATCAGCTTTCTGCTTTCGACAGAAATAATCCCCCTGTGCCTGCGCACAATGGAAATGGGAAGCGAATTGTCAAAAACAGTTGAGTTTTAGCTTTTCTCTTCTTTCTTATGCCGAACTATTGCTTTGTAATGTCCAATACAGATCTTTCCTTTTTATCGTCATCTGGCATCAATTTTTTAATTTAGTACGGTAAGATCCCACATTGATTTGGGAGGGGAACTAAGGTTACCTTATAAGGGTTTGGATACCTTCTCTACTAGACGCGTTTTAAAACCATGAGTCCAGGTGTGTGGACAAGGTGAACAATATCTGGTGTGGTTAGATTGGGATGCTACAATCTGGGGAACGGGACTGGTTTGCCAGCGAGGACGTTTACCAAACACTTACCCAGTAAACACTTACCGGTAAAATTCAACACAATCACTTATTGGGTAAGATTTTAGTTCACCAAAAAGGCATCGTATGCAACAATTTACTCGGTAAGTGCTAACTGTAGTAAGTCGTCGCCATCACTTACCAGGTAAGACTCTTGGTCCTTGCCTCGCTCTAACCGGGTAAGATTCTTGGTCCTTACCATATACATCCAGTAAGTTAATGTGACTTGGCAAGTGCTTACCTAGGTAAGCGTTTGGTAAACGGCCCCTAAGATTGTTTTATAAGGGATTGGATACCTTCTCTACCGGACGCATTTTAACACCGTGAGTCCAGGTGTGTGGATTAAGCGGACAATATCTAGTAAGGTTAGCCTGGGATGTTACAAGTACATTTCAGTTCTCTCTTATTGTCTTCCATTTTTTGCCATTGCGTGGGCTCATCCATTCTGCAGGTTCTTACAAAAGTTTATTGTATGAAGAGTTATTGCAATCCCTAGAGTTTCCCTTTTTTCTTTTGAGAAGATTTTGTGTGATCATTAGGAGAAAATTAATTTGACTCCCCGTGTTTTTTTTAAAAGAAGAAACTTTGTCGGGGTTGGTGATGTTTGCATAGAGTCGGATCATGAGGAATTTTCATTTTCGTGAAAAGGTGAGAACAAGTGAAGATACTTTTATATTGTATGAATGTTACTTTTCTTGTGTGAATGTTGTAACTTTCACACAATATAAGGGTATCTTCATGGTTCTCACAACAAATCTTTACACAACTATACGAATTCCGTCGTTTTTTCTCACGTTCTCATGAAAAGGGGTTGTTCTCATTGGAACCCAACCCCGTATGTATACTTGCGCTCATGGCAATGTGTGAGTGGGGTTGTGGCTCCAATATTTTTGGTCTTCATGGAAACAGCCGCTCTACTTTTTGGGGTAGAGGTCAGATTTGCATACATCTTACACTCCTAGACCGGTAGACCCCACCTTCAGATGGGATATATTGGGATAATTTGGTTTATAAATTCTGACATGAAAATTTGTGGAGCTGTTGTCCGCTTTGTGGAAATCTGATGAAAGGTTGAATGATCCCAGGTTGCGACATTTATAGTTCAGAAGATCTTGTTGGATGATGTGGGGTTGGACTACATATGCACGACAGCTGAACGGTTCTTTGCAGTTGGTAGGGTTTTGGGAAATATGGTTGCCGCACTTGCTGAACAACCCTCTTCCCGCCTCTTGAAGCACATCATCCGCTGCTACCTTCGCTTATCCGATAATCCAAGGTTAGTCAACTTAGTCAACCACGTTACCAACATCAACTATAAAAGCTAATGTTTACATATATATGATGTAAAACTTGCAGGGCATGTGATGCTTTGAGGAGTTGTCTTCCAGATATGCTACGGGATGCTACTTTTAGCAGTTGCCTTCGTGTAAGCATTCTGCATTTATATATATATATATATATATATATATATTATATTTCAGTAATTGGAAGATGCAAGTAATAGCGAGACATGATAGAATAAACATTTGTTGTCCCCTGTTTGGTGCCCATTAGACTAGGATATATATATATATATAGAGAGAGAGAGAGAGAGAGAGAGATAGAGGAGCGATCAAATACAAACCGTGCAAACCACCCTCATCCGTCGATTTCGTTGTTTAATCTTATGAAATTTTTTCATGAAATTGTTTAATCTTGTGAAATTGTTTCATATAATACTTTTTTTTGATGAAGTTGTTTCATATATGGTTATGAAATTGTTTCATATAATACTTAATGAAATTGTTTTATGTATTTCTCTAAAATTAAAATAATGAAGATGATAATATCCATGATTAACACCCTCTATAACAAAAATGATCAATCAACCTCTCATAATTACAAAAAAATGAACAAAATGAAAAATTATGATCGGTTGAATGAGGTTTGTACGGTTTGTACAAATAACGTGATTTGCAAACTAAACCTCCTCTCTCTCTCTCTCTTTATATATATATATATATATATATATATATTATATTTCAGTAATTGGAAGATGCAAGTAATAGTGAGACATGATAGAATAAAAATTTGTTGTCCCCATTAGACTAGGACATGACGGGATTTTGTCCTTACTGAAATAGGTGGAAAAAGATTATGGTAAAATTACTAAAAACTCCGTGTCAATTTAAAACCCTAAAACCTTCCACTGTTTTTTCACCTGCTTTCCTCGTCCAATCTTGTCATGTCCTATCCAGTCCCATCTTGTCCAATTTTGTTCTTAATGAATCTGGGTTTACATTTTGTTATGCGTGAAATGACGGAACAAAATTTTGTTGTCCCACGACATTAGACTAGGACAAGAAGGGATTGGGTTTTTTTGTCCCACCAAAATAGGTGGAATATTGGTAAGTTACTAAACTGCTCATCATTAAAACCCTGTAGCCTTGTTCAGTTTAGGGGTGCTCAAAACCGGCCAACCCCACCCAAAAAAAAACTCAACTCGAGGTAACCCGTCACATAGTTGATACAAAATTAGGCCAAACCGCATCTATGGGGTTGGAATTGGTTTGGGGTCATTTGAACCCAACCCAATCCAACCCGATGCACCCGATTTCTTCTTATATTGTGGATTTAATATGATTGTTAAGTCCTTGATTAAATATATTTACATTGGACCAATCCGCAATTAGCTATATTCAAAATTGCACTACAATTTCAACCGTAATTTTACTTTCTTATTTGCATGAACTTTCAACCTTCTTTTTTGAGTTTGTTAAGTTTTTTTATATGTTCTCATTTTAATTTTACTTCTTTTAAACACAAATGCTTAGCTAGATTGTAAAATGGTGTATCAAAGTTTCAACCTGACCAACCCAACCCGCACATTTTGGGTTGGGTTGGATTGTAATTGTTCAAACTTCAAGCATTGGGTTGGGTTGTTCAAATGCTTTCAACCTGGCCAATTCTTTGACCTGCCTACCTCACTTTGGGGCTGTTTGATTGGTTTTCCGTCAAGTCCTCTACAGATAAAGATGTCTATGCGCATTAATCTGTCTGTATAGATTGAGAAAGATTTTGTCTGGAAGGGTTTTTTGATTGATGGAACAAACATGTTTTTTAATTGGGAGGGGCAGGCTTGGAAAAAACTTGGTTTTCTGCATAAAGCTCCCCTCTAGAAGCTTACTGAATAAGACACTTTCTATAACATTAAGCCACTACCAAAAAGTCGTATATAGCTAACTGAATAAGCTATGAGTCTCATTAAGCACCCAAATTATCTTGTCCAGTCCTGTCCAATCCAGTCTGGTTCTGAACGAATGTGGGTTTGTACAGGAGGATCCAACAACGAGAAGGTGGCTTCAACAACTGGTTCATAACGTTCAAGGGCCTCGCGTCGGTCTTCAGGGAGGTGGAGGATTTGATCACATGTTGGTGAACTGAAACAAAGTTTGGTGTTGTTATGATTTAGAGACTTGGGGAAAAAGCTGTTTTGAAAACTTAAAATAGCAGTTTGTTTATATTTCTAGCTATCATATTCTTCATCATGTGTATATCAAAAACTAAACTGCTTTATTATTGAATTTATCAAGGGATTTTGGTTTATGATTGTGTAATCCAAAAGGGCAAAGGAACAATAGTTTTATGATTGTGGTAACTAAGGCGGCGCTTGTTTTTTTAAGAGGTGCTGAAATCTGAAGTCTGATTTCACTTCTGACTTCTTATAAGAGGTGGTTTTGGAGTCTGAAATCTGGATCAGTAAGATTATTTGTTTTTACGTCTAAAGTCTGAAATTTGAACGGTTAAACCAGTGCGAAAATATAAATAATAAATAGTTTTTTTTACAAAAGTATAAAAGATGAATAGTTTTTGCTGATAAATCTCTTCCAGCCCTGAAAATATGAACCATATGATAGAAGACGATAGTTATTGATGTTAAAAGAATCAATTGAACCAACAAAAAAGGTTCTTATAAGAATCACCATTGTGGAGTTCTTGATGAGTTCTTAATTTGATGAGGTTGACTTGAGGTGGCAATAAAATGTGCAAAAAATTTATTGTAAGAACCTCCATTGTAGATGCTCTAAATCCTTAGTGTGGTATTTCAATATCAGGGTTTTTTTTTTTTAAAACCAGACATAGAAGGGGAAAAAATTAAAAATGGAACTTTACGCAAAAAATATGACTTTACGTAGAAAATCTATTTTTTGCGTAAAGCTTTTTGTGTGAACTCCCATTTTTTGTGTATACTTCTTTTTTTAACTTATTTTTCTTTTCTTTTGACCTGAAAATAAAATTTTCACATAAATTCTTGTTCTACATAAAGTTTTTTTCATAAACTCCTTTTTTAACTTATTTGTATTTTTTCTTTGATCTGAAAATAAACTTTATACAGAACGTAAAGTTTTTTTTTTGTGAACTTCAGTTATTTGAGGAAATGGGTTTCTAACATGGCTAAAAAATAAGTCGTTTTATAAAATGGCTATTTACGTAAGTTTTTGCCAGAACCTCGGTCATTTTCCCCTTACCACGCACCAAACACACTAAACATGCATTAAACACCTATAATCTTGTTTGGTCCAACACGATGGATGGCCTCGATACTATCTTGATTAGGTGGAGGTTCAAACGAGAATGCCTCCATTTTACAAGAACACGAGAACACCTTTATTTTACAAGAACACCTTTATCACATGTGATAATACACGTGAGGGGATCTGGTGGTATGCGTAAGACGTGTTCTACGACTTAGGCCACGCCAAAGGTTGTCTACGTCTATGATTTAGCATCACATGTGATGGTCTTGATGGATTATAGTAGCATATCAACTACACATTTATCACATGTGATAATACATGTGAAAGGGCTTAGTGATGTAAAGGCAACTTGCCCCACAACCAAGATCGTGCCGAAAATTGTCGACGTCTCTGATTTAGTATCACATGTGTATCATATATGATGGAACTATATTATCACATGTAATTGTCTATTGTAAAAGGGTATTCCCACGTTCTCGTAAAATGTAGGTGTTCTCGTTTGAACTCTTCCCACTGATTATGCCACAACCCAAATCACTATCATACCATAAATCAAGGAGCTATTTGTTGGATTTTCTATTAAGTCATATATAGATAAAGTTGTCTACGTAGATTAATTTATCTATATAGGTAGGGAACAATTTTTGTTTGAACGGGTTTTTTCATAGACGGAAGAAGCATGATTTTTAATTTGGAGGGACATTGTTGGGAAAGAAACTTGACTTTCTGTACAAAGCTTCCCCCTATAAGCTTGTTAAATAATCCATTTTCTATATCATTAAGCCACTACCAATAATTCCTGTATAACTGATCGAATAAGCTGTGAGTTCCATTAAGCTCGTTAAACTGCTAACAAAAAGACACTAAGATGGAAGATTTAGCAGCCCACTGTCATAGATCATAAACATTACCATTTTGTGTAGAAGAGAGACATCACATGATAAATAATTTATACACGAATAATGGGTACGAATATATCGTTACAAACGACATTAGTCGTCTACAGAAGCTTTTTTAAACGTATTTTAGAATAACCACGGGACCATTTTCGAGCAATCAATAACACCTTGTTATCTCCTAAACGATTCTTCAACCTGCTAAAGTTTAGTCGAGCACGACTAGCGTCAACCAACCGTTAAGCTGAGATTTCCATGAGAAATGCCATCACTACTCCCAGCACAGCACCTGCTGCAACCTGCAATTAAACCATTTGTTCACCTTTTGATGGCATTTGCAAATTTTAAACCAACTTTTCCCAACAAACATGAATGAAATGAAGAATATGCAAACAAAATTGTCATTCTAGAATTGTAATCTTCTGATCATAATAACGCTTTTTGACCCGTATCCTTTCACTACCATCTCGAATGGCTCGCTTCCATGAAACGGGTACCATAAAACAAAAATGATAAAAAAAGCAAAGCAGAACAAATAAATGAACCCTAAGACCATCTCCAATAGTGTAATATCCCATGGCAACCAACCGTACCAGATATTATCCACTTTGTCCATACCTAGACTCATGGTTTTAAAACGCTGTCTGATGGTGGAGTATTTTGTCCCTTATAAAGCACCCTTCGTTCCCCTCCACAACCGATGTGTGATCTCATAAATGGGGCCACCAAATATCAAATTCTAGAAATGGAATCTTCTAATCATAATAAGGATTTTAGGCCCATATCATTTCATTACCATCTCGAATGGCCCGTTACCATGAAATGGGTCCCCACAAAACAAAGATGATAAAAGCAGGAAAGCAGAATAAACAAATGAACCCTAAGACCATCTCCAATGGTGTAACATCTCAGGACAACCAACTACACCATATATTGTCCGCTTTCTCCATACCTTGGACCCACGGTTTCAAAACGCGTCCAATAGGGGAGGCATCTATGGTCACTTATAAGACAACATTCGTTTCCCTCCCCAACCGATGTGGGATCTCACAAATGGGTTCACCAACTCTTACACCAAATTTGGTGTAATGAATAATAACACACCACATTTGGTGTAACAGTATTCATCAACATCAATTGGAAAAGATAAAAAGAAATACACCTAGAAACTTACATGCTTTATAAGATTTGGTGTTACCCCTTGGAGATGTCCTAAGCAATACAACTTCTTTAGCGAATGCATCATTATTGGAAACTAACTCCATATTACAATGCATCTCAAGTTAATGTTAGCAACTTCCCAACGATATGGTTCCAAGAAAGGGCTCTAAGCAGTATGGGTTTTATTGTCCGTTTTGGCCTAAGTTTCACTTTCATTGGACAAACATCATAGGATAAAGATACATAACCCATTTTTGAATGTTGAAAATTAATGCAACATTCCATTTTTGGCACGGTTTCAACTCAAGGCTACCTGTTTGCCCGTTAGTGATCATTACAAGGACCAAGGCCAGATAGCATTAAGATCCACAAGATTCATCTATTTTTCATTATTAGAAGATATTTTAGATATTTACTAATAACAATCACTTTCTTAAAGTGTATCCGGTCAAACCTTGCATGTAAGTATGGGCCTATCACTTAAGCAAAAATTACATGTCCTTGTACATACATATATATAGGGAAGGGTTCAAGCAAAGAACACATTTGTTTTACAAAGAAAACACCCATTTACTATAGTCAATCACATCTATACCAAAGCAAATGTGTGTGGCTCTTGGGTCAATTGGCCCGCACACACCACTAGGTCCCCTCATGGGTATCATCACATGTGACAAGGGTGTTCTCGCGTTTTCATAAAATAAAGGTGTTCAATTTTAATCCACCTATATATATAGTGAGAATATGTGGAGCCTTGCTATCCCTTTAAGAAGAGAAGGAAGGTTCCAACTTCCAACATATATAGAGGAGATACAGTCCAAATCTATAGCCAATATGGGACTCTAGCACACCCCCTTCAAAAGGGGCTACGCAGACACATTGTCCCGCAATGTCAAGACGGGAGAGGAAGTTAGACAATTACAAATTGCCTTGTCCCTAAGTGCTAAATCTAATTCTAATACCATAAAAGCTAAATAAACGAAAAAGAATGTCGAGGTAGACTTTTATACTTTGTTTCCCTTGAACTCAAAAGATGATTTACAACAACTTATAATGGTTCGTAGCACCAGACTTGCTGGAATATAGGAACCAAATAACAAACTACTTATTTTCTAGAACTGTGTTTACACATATCTAGGAAAGAAACATAATACAGCCTCCATCTTACATTATCGGTCCAATATTCCAATTTCTTTAAGGGCCCGCTTGGTTTGCTGGATTTGGAATTGAATTCCATTCCAATCCTGTGTTTGGTTTGAAAGCAAGCTTGGATTTGAACTCCCGGGATTAAATGAAATCCCAAAACCGACGGATTTAGAAATCCCTTGGAGATAGTTGTCATTTAAATCCAGATCCCATGAATTTCAATTGTTCCCATCGCATCTCCACCCCGCCTCTTTCATCAAATCTGCCCTAATCTCTCCATAGCCTCCAAACAAACAAATTATTTATAAACAAACAAATATTTACAAAAAATTAAATTCCATTCCAAATCCTACACAAACCAAACAAGACATATAAAAGAATGAAACTCAATTCCATTCCAAATCCTACAAACCAAACACACTAAAGATTCCAGATCCTTCCACGAAATCCAAATCCCACAAAAACATTCCGTCAAACCAAACGCTCCCCAAGTTCTTCACCCACCATCTTGTATCGTAGATACTGGTTACGTCCTCTAGTTTCCCTTTCAAATAATTAATTGGCTAAATTACACAAAAGGCCAGCCTGTTTATCTTACAATTTTGAGTTCCTAGTGTTTAATATTGAACACCATAGCTCCTTGACCAAGTTCTTTGCACTCAAGAAGTAATAGTCCAACTAATGTGGTTGTTATGTTAAGGCTAATTGACATAAATCTTAATCACTCATGAATTCCCTTTTTAGATAACAGAAATACGTAAGTATACACACTTAGACTTATATGAGAGCTAATGAGCTAATAGTAAGTTCCTTGTATCATATAAAAGATATACATATATGCATACATCATTTTTTTGTAAAAAGAACCTAAAGTAATGAAATTACAAGAAAAAATAATAAACAAGAGAATAAGAAAAACAGAGCCTCTCTCTCATTATGCGTTCACACACAAACAAGTAGTTCAAGCAACACCACAACCCACAACCTCTTCCCATCAGCACCACAACCCACAACCTCTTCCCATCAGCACCACAACCCACAACCTCTTCCCATCAGCACCACAACCCACAACCTCTTCCCATCGCCTCCACCACCCACAACCTCTTCCCATCGCCTCCACCACCCACCACTCTTCCTATCGCCTCCACCACCCACAACCTCTTCCCATCGCCTCCACCACCCACAACCTCTTCCCATCACCTCCACCACCCACAACCTCCTCAACATGCCCCAAGCCCCACCACAAAAGAATCACACCACATATACCTCATACATTGCAATAATTCTATTTTTTCTTCTTCCATGCACAAACTTATATATTCCAACTCAAAACACTTGATGTTTCTTCTTTCACTCTAAAAAAATACTGACAACCTACTCAAAAAAATTCATGCTCAGCCGAGAACTGCCAGGTCATAACACCCTATGTAGAAACTCAACTTTCCTTCTCACAAACTTGTGAAAACAAAAGGGGAGTATTTCATGTTATTTTCAAGAATTACCCTGATATAATAAACCCATGGAGAAGCTCTCACCTTTCTAATCTTTCATCTCATTCACCTGTTTGAATTTTTGTTTAGATAAAAAGCATTGCTGCTTTGCAATATGTAGTTGAAATATTTCGGATATCGATGTTGGAGACTTGTGAATCAAAGAAGATGCAAGATAAGCTCTTTTGGTAATAGAAAACAAATAATGGTGATCGAGATGCAAAAGAATTTGTAACTTCAAGGTTACAGAACTCTAATGTAAGTGTTGAATGTCGGGAGAGCTGATTGTTGCAGGTGGAAAGAGTATGACAAAAGAAAAGAAGTTTCTCTCTTTCTAATTAGAAGCGTACATGTATTTAAAAGTGGTGAAAGGGGTAAATGAAGAACCCTTCAAAATATGGAAGGTATCTGTCTCAATGAAGCAGAGGTGAGAAAATTCCTCCTCCATTTTACAATAGAAAAAAAGCCTATTTTTTGGTTTGACAGAAGAGAGAGATGAGAATGAGGGAGCGGAAGCGAATGATCTAATTGTATCCATGAAATCGTTCACGGTGAGTGCATGCGAATGAGGAACTACAGATGCAAGAAAGACAATTTTTGTCTACTGTTAGACACAATTGTATCCATGAAATCGTTCACGGTAAGTGCATGGGAATGAGGAACTACAGATGCAAGAAAGACAATATTTGTCTTCTGTTAGACAAGAGGAAGAGAGGTGATAAATCACAAATTAGAGCCAAACTGACCAGATCAATCAAACAAGAACATGTGTATATGCATGGCGCCAGTAAGTGCTTTGCCTTAAAATATGAATTTTCTTTAAACCCGGTATGTTTCACTACACTCTCCTTAAACCTTAATGAATCAAATTGTAAGATCAAAAAGAATATGATATTTGACAAGTGTGGCGATCCAAGTGGATAGTAAGCATCTATGTGTTGAGTTATTTTTTTCTATATAACCAACTGTCTGTCTATGCATCCCATTCCATTCATTAACAGATAAATAATGTGATTGTTCACAGAAGAAGCTTCAAAGTGCCTAAAACTTGGTCAAGTGGTGATGGAATCTGATTTGGATCTATTTGTAGGCACAGGAAACATAGAAATTGGAATGACATATCCTCTTTTTAACAGCCCAATCCACACTTTACAAATAGAATGATTAAATGGAATAGCATGTTTAAGTATCTTTCTGTTATCAACCTACTACAAAACTTACTTCTCAAAACAATCATTAGTGCAACAAGCTTCTCTCTTGAACAGAACTCATTCATGAGTCAGTACAGCTGGTACTCTAGTATTCGACAAGACTACAATCACAAACACCCACTAAGCCAATGCATGTGATGATTATTAAGATATGCCACCTTGTGGACACTAAAGATCGTAGAAAAACAGTTCCATGTTGCAAAGCAACAAACATGCAAGAAGTTAGATTGCAACCGAACCTGAAATGGAGTGTGACCAAGTGAGTCTCGTAGCGGTCTAACATTGGAAAGTGGATGTTCTGGAGGCAGCTCACAAACAATTTGATTCAATAACTGCATAGAGAATAATATGATTTTTACGCTATCCAAGGAAAGCATTCATAAGTTAAAACATGGGCTGGTACACACTAGCTCTAAGTATTTACGTGGATTTCATTTTTGTAAATACATACTCCTCCGTCCAAAATAAGTGTCCATGTTTCTATTTATGTTTGTCCCAAAATTAGTATCCATATTCAAAGATAAATAGTTATAATTAACTAAATTTCCAATTCTACTCTTAATTATGACACATGAACATAAGAGTTGGTTAGATGGAGAACTTCAATTACTGGAATAATTATACTTTTCTAAAATAATGTGCGTTTTATTAAGGGTAAAATTGTTAGTCAGTTAATAGAAAGTGTAATAATCACGCATTACTAAAAATATGTCCTTCTATTGTGAACATTTACTTTGGGATGGAGGGAGCATCAAATATTATTATTTAAAGTGATATCCTCACCACATCACAACCAAGGTATAAACTTTCTTATACAAACCGTTCAAGAATACTTAAACATAGAGACATACCTCCGCTTGACGACCCGCATGAAGTCTAACACCAGTTGCATCATACATTACCTGTCAAAGAAAAGAATAATCAATCGAGGTGAATAATAAAAATCTTGATAAATGCATATTTGTTTAGATTAGATCAAATTAATGGGTGCTGTGGGCACCAAAGCACAGACACATCAAACTTGTACTACCCATGGTTTTAAAAAGGGTGTGAGATGTGTGCCTCGAGGCGAGGCAGCCCAAAATCACACCTGAGGCGGCGCCTCTCAGTCCCCAGATGAGGCATACGCCTCAATTGTCTGAGGCAGTAACCAAGGCGGTGAGGCGTGGAGAGGTGTACGCCTCAATGCAGAGGCTAAATTATTAAAAAAATGACTGAAACCTTCTCTATTACTTTTTTGAAAACCTTGTTCTTCTCTAGTTCTCCTAACCCCTATCTGCTACTCGTTTTTGTCATTCGTGAGTTCCAATTTTCTCCCATTTTCTTCTTCGGTTCTCTTTGGTTCACGAGAGTATTATGTATATGTAGTATGCTGGATACACTTCTTTCATATTTAATCTCTACTACATGTCACGATCACACTTCTACCCCCACTTTGTTGATATTAAATATTTTTCTTTATGAGTTGTGAGCATATTAATACATACATATATATATATATATATGTTAAGAATAGATCAATATTTTTTCTCTTTGTTACTATATCTATATTTCGTGATTGAAAAAAGTGTATGTAGATTCTTTTGGTAATTTAGTATGGTGTATATATGTATATATAAACACTGTGTCTAGTACTCAAGTGTGAAGTGTGTCTGTGTGTGTATATATATTGCATATATTTTCTGAGTGGAAGCAGCAGAATGCAGATTGGTAAAAATATATTTTATGTAGTATATATATATATATATATATATATATTTCCGCCTTGGGGCTTACGCCTCGGTCTGCCTCGAGGCTTAAGCCTTGCCTCGTTTGAGGAAAACGCCTTGAGGCACGATTCCGCTTTTTAAATCCATGATACTACCAGTGTGAGACAGAAATCACAAATCATTCCTTTCAAAAGGGTCTATATTCTGTAAAAACCTTTAATCTAATTGAAGTATCACTTAACGACACAGATCGGAGAAACCAACATAACAACTCCAAATTCATATTCATTGATTATAAGAAAGGTAAGCTCCTATGAGTCAAAATGTAATTAAACCAGCAAATATGGCTAATCCTAATTGTTACTTTCTATCTTCAACAGAGAAATAATAGCTACTTGTGATCCAGCTTGAGAACAGCGAGAGAACTTGTGGTTGTTCTAGCAGCACCTTTTGAATCACATACCAACTTTTGGTAGGGCCTAGAAATATTATCCTACAATTTTTTCATAAAAGTAGAAAGCAATCTGAAACACTTGTGACAATCTCTAATAAGAAGCAAGGAACATGATGAAATTCGGGTGTTGTAAACACGTACAACACATGCCAAAACCACTGCAATGGCAAATGATGATGAACCAGTGCCCTCTTGTAACCCTATGCACGCAGCAAGAGCTGTAACGGTTGCGGAATGTGATGATGGCATGCCACCGGAGCTAAGCATCCTTCTGGTATCCCATTTCCTCTCTTTAAACCTGCGCATCCAAAGTAACAAACTAAATTTCCAATAAAAGTATAACTATAATGAAAACCACAGTCAAAGCAAAAAAACAATAAAAGTCGTTTTAAGAAACAAAAAGATACCAAAATCTCTGAAAACCCAAGGCCGACTTGCTAGTGACACAATCATATAAGATGTCTATTCTATGGTGCAAAAACTAGCATATGATCCATTTCTCTACAAAAGAGCTAGGTGGCTAGCAATTAGCATTAACCTTTTGCCATTCTTTCCATCGTGTTCTATCTTACCCAAGCCATCAAAACCAACATAGTCCTACATTCCACATCAAATTCCACTAGCAGTTCCTAGTTCAAAGATCAACGCACATCTTTTAGAGAAAAGCAACATATCTCTAACCAAAAGAACTATGGTCAGTTTCCTAAATGCCCAATGATAACAGGCTTAACATAAATGTAACCTCCTTCATGTTTGAATTCTTTTAGGTTTCAATATATAACTCCAGTCAACATACAATAATGTTGCAACACTGACCACATCTTCGTGTGTGTTGTAGGAGAACAAACAAAAGTTCAAAACAAGAATTGTGGAGAAGTTGTTGAATTAAAAACTAAACATAAGACAAAAGAGTAATCAACTAATCATTATAGTTAGTGATTAAAAAGGGTTTGAGGAAACAACAAGATGCACCATACTACACAATCTCATAGGCATGATCTACACTGCATTGCTAGATTAAGAGAAAATAACAAATCAGACCACATACAAAAGAATCACGACACTTGTCATTATGCTTAGGCTTAGCCTGATCAAGCATTTATATAACACTTCCATGATTAATCTTTACGTTCTTATCTACGTTTCAATGATCACATCGCTTCCTCAAATATCTCATAATATCAAGCACACAGTCCTCGAGTGCTCAAGGCAATTCATTCTTTACAAACCTAAAAACTCCAACAAATTTCGAATTACATGTAAAATAAATCCCAAACCCTAGAAACGCCCAATTCAACCACCAGAAATGTCCAAACAAAAACAAGATTTCATCAGAAACAGATATATAGATTCGCACTGAGAGAGAGAAGAAACGTACCAATGCGTAAACACTTTAAGAAACTGTGCGATAAACAGAGACAGAAAAGCAGAAAGAAGAGGGAGATTCGACGGCAAAGCAGACGATTCAGATGAGTAAGAACGAAGACTAGAAGACGCATCAGCCGCTGTGATCACCTCGTCCATCACAAATACGGAATCGAAACCTCCCCTTCTTCCTAAAAATGGCTGTTAATCGTGTGGATTTTCCAAAACCCTCATACATCAACAACAATGAAATTCCAAGAACAACGCGACAAATTTATAAATCCATGATCGTTGGATTTGGGCGGCGGAAGTTGCAATCAGTGAAAGTAAAGAATTTCGCCATTTCTCCGGGATGGTGGACGTCGGCGACGGACCGATGTGCTATTGACGTTATCAATATTCCACCGAGTTGGGGTGGTTTCTCGATTACGATTTGCAGATGGGCCACACCATAAGCCTTGTGGAATGTGGAGTACATTAACATTTGGATTTAGGCCCATTTAAGTAAGCCCAAATTAGAAGCCCAGTGGCCTAGTTTAAAAATTATTATAAATTTAGTCCCTGTACTATTATTCATTCTACAGTTTCAGTCCTTTAATTTTATTTTATTTGTATGTTGGTCCAAAATTAACGATTTTGTTTCGTTTTGGTCCACAAGCCTAAAATGTGAGTAACTGATTTGTGGGTTCGTTTTGTAATTTATATTTTTCATATAATAAAAACTAAGAGAGAGAGAAAGAGATGAACACAGACTAAAATAGTATGAACATACATCAAAGAATTAAAATTATGGACTGGTTACTGGTATAGAAACATAAGTTGATACAATCTGATCAAACGTATCGATAATAGGCTCTTGGAACTTGTCTTCAGTCTTGGTATTTCGCCTTATTAGGCATGGAAACTGATCCCAAACAGTCTAGAAACCCGATCCACCCGCCCCCGGTCGGGGACCGGGATTCCCCGTTAAACCGGGGACGGGGTCGGGTATCGCAATCCCCGCCCCGTCACGTACCCGTATATATATTAATTAACAAATTATATTATATTATTTATTTCTATTAAATCGGTAAATGGTAATTTCTATTTCAATATATTTTGGATATTACTAGATGTGGTTTTGGTATTACTCAATACATTTTGGTACATGTGATGTTAATTTCTTTAGATTAAATTTAATTTCTTTTGGTTTTCGATTTATTTATTATTATATGATGATCATATGATGTATATATTTTTTTGTATTGAATTAAATTCCTTTCGGTTTTAGGTTTATTGAAAAATATGAGATTTATACATGTGTAGCGCCTCACACATTTGATTTTAAAAAAACTTACACAACCAGGAAAAATCCATGTTCCCTGTGGGGGGCGGAGATGGGGATGTGATCAAATTCCCCGTTGGGGATGGGGATGGAGATAGGGACAAAGATGGGGGATCAGGGATGGGGACTGGGGTCCTCATCCCATTACCATACCTATGCCTTATGCTACAAAGTATCGTTGTTGATTTGTCGGAATCATTATTATTCTTGCATTTCTTTTATTCACTGTGCAGTATGCAATAAACCTTATATACATTATGTATGCAATTGGACGCAACCAGGCCTAACTCTTCGAGCACACTATAATAAGACGTGGATCAACCGTGAATCGTGATGAGAAATACTGGGAATAGACTTCATTCAAGCCTAAATTAGGAACGGGCTAATAACAACAGCAATAGCAAAAGAAGGATTTTGTTAGCGAGCCATCATTATTCCCTACACTGTAAGAGATAGAGGAATAATCGCTCATATACGTGATTTGATAAAAGCAAGCCCTGATCAATTATAAGTGTGTGTCTTAATCGGTTAATCTGACTCCTTAAGCCAGGTCAAAAACAACGGGAGAGGTTATGCATACTTAAACACATCCGTTTTAGCCTCCCACGTTAGTCTCCCTAATGGCCGACCTGAGTCTCGTTCCTCATGCCAGCACCTTTTCTCCTTACCGAACCAAAGTCTTCTGATGGCAATAAATTTAATTGTCGTTAAAAGTCAAGAGGGTGTTTGGTTCAGGCATAAAAATGAAAATGAGTGTGAATTTTATTCCCGCAATTTAACCTTAATGAAAACTTGGGCTTCTGGGAGAATGAACCCATTATATTTATATAAATCAATCATTTTTTTTTCCATTCTCATTAATTACTACTTAATACCTCTAACCAAACACCCTTAACATACGTTTTTTCAGTAACCAAAAGAATCAATTTTATATCCAAGAAAAAATGAATTTTTTCATCGTAATTCAAAACTCCAGAGACGTAATTAACGCAAGCATTTAGCTCAACAATTATGGCAGCAATGACGACAGTTATGGAATAACAGTGGGAATCCCCAAATAAAATAGTCGACATCAGTATTTGATTTGGACTTCTACATATTTGTGGCCTTCGTCTTTTCGGCCATCCGTGTCTTTGATGTTTACTTAAATACAAATACCAAGTAATCGGGTGGTTTGCGCGTCGTTTTAGAATAATGGAGTATTTGAAATAAATTGAAATATGAATAAATTACAACGAAGTTTAACGAGGCTAATCTGACCACTAATTTGATTGACATGAACGGGAATGAAAACAAGTGAAACGGGTTGAAAAATGCTTGTTTGGTTCAGCTACTGTAGGTTCGTAATTAAAATGAAATACTGATAAACGAACAAAAATACAGTTTTCATAATATTTTGTAATTTATTGCGTAAATTATAAACACATTATCACTTGAATGTAAAAGTGTGTAATTTAATATTTATCCAGACAAATATAAAACATAAACATGTACAACACAAATATAAACACAGAACAAATAATATGTTATCAATAAATCTAAACTGTTAATAAACATGAAGAAAACATTACTTAGGGGCCGTTTACCAAATACTTACCCGGTAGAAGCTTATCGGTAAAATTTAACATTATCATCTACTTATTAGGTAAGATTTTAGTCCATCAAAACGGTATCGTATGCAACAATTTACATGGTAAGCGCTTACCGTGGTAAGAGTCGTCACCCCCACTTACCGAGTAAGACTCTTGATTATTGTCTCGCTCTTACCGGGTAAGATTCTTGATCCTTATCATATTCATCCGGTAAGGTAATATGATTTGATGTTCACTTACCCGAGTAAGTGTTTAATAAACGACCCCTTACATATTTCATACATTAACAATCACCCAAAAACAGTGTCTAATTATACATACATACACTGTTGATAACCCATAAATAACATTATTTTGTTTTTAAAAGCATATAACTGATAATATGTTTTAATAGGGTAAATTGCATGGAAAAATAACGTACTTTAACTTGATTCCTATTTTGGATAATGTACTTTCAAAACTTATATTTTGGTACCTAAGATGTAAAGTTTTAAACATTTAAGTACCCGAGTAATCAGTTGAAACATTATTTTTTTTTTCTAATAAACCACAATACATAAAAACTAATTTTAGATTAAAATATTCATGTCAACAAATAATACTGAATTGGACACCACATCACTCGTTACATTAACATGATAACTGGTTAATGTTTCAACTGGTTACTCGGATACTTAAATATTAGAACTTTGCATCTTAAGTACCAATTTTTTTTTTAAAATACACTATATATAAATTAAATTAAAACACGTTATTTTTCCATACAATTTGCTCTTTTAAATATAAAGAAAAAAACAAAAATATAAAAGCTAGTATCTTTTGAATATACCACCGCATCTTCTTTCATCAACTTTTAAGATGACGTCATAATTAATAAAAACCATTTAATATGTCCACAAATAAATGATATAAAGTTAAGGCCAAAATCCAATTCAATTCAAAGGGAGGTGTATGCATCATCTCATCCACATGTTTGTGGGGTCCATTTGACTATGGTCCAACATCAAAATGAAAAGAAAGAGTCAAATTTTGATTGCTATAATTTTAATCTGTCTAAACTATATTATAAAATATTTGATAAAAAAAATTAAAAAATTATTTTTTATGTATAAAGTATTGTTTATTAATGTATATTAATTAAAATTCAAGATCGTAAGTAAATAGCTGTGTAAGTATAATTTATTAAAGTTTCATATCTGAATTCGTGTAACTAACTGCAGATGAACATAATCAAATACATGACAAACATCTCATTTTAAATATAAAAAATCTAAAATATAATTAGGATAGTCATTGAGTTCTAACAGAATACTCAATTATTATCTTTATAAAATGTTATATTATTAAACCAAAAATAAATTATTTTGTTATTAAACTTAAATTATAATAAAAAAATAAGAACTTTTAAATAGTTGATTTGACATTAACATTTATATTTTTTTCTCAAATTTATATTTTATTAAAAAATAAAATCATTATTTCTTTCTTAAAAACACATAAAATCGTATTATAACATCGACAGAGACAAATAATAAAATAAAACATTAAAATCGATATGTGTATCGGTGTATTGCACGAGTACTCTTCTAGTATAGTATAGATAATAGTCTAATAATATTGTAGTAATTTCAAGCTAAATAATTGCACGTGTTGCACACAGTGTCTTAGGCCTAAGACTGATCTTATATCAACCCCATTATGGTCAGTAGGCTTAAAACATATAAATATAAGTATAACATTGAAAGTAAAAAACCTGAAAAGAAACATGAATACAAAAATAATAGTACAACATTGGAGATTGAAAGACCTCAGAACTTGAGTTGGCTGGTGGACTAGTGCAAGGGCCAAGTGAAAAAATGAATAAATTGCGTATATATCCTAAAAGTTTGCCTTCTAAGCAGCAACAAAAGCACAGAGTCGTGCCCACCTATGGCCCTCATATGCATCCGTCACTAATCTAAACCGAGCCTTAATGACTGATATAGACCTAATCTTTAGTTTCAATACTGATCTTTGCTAGTTGATGAATATATCGAACCTCAAATCAATTACTGTACATATTTAGTCAGGAATGTTTGGTTAGTTTTTCATTAAGTCATGTATGGATAAAGTTGTTTGTGTAGATTAATATGTCGGTATAAATTGTGAAGGTTTTTGTTTGTGAAAATTTTGTTTTTAATATATACAAGGAGCATGTTTTATTAATTGAAATGACATGTTAGAAAAAAAAAAAAACTTGGCTTTTTGCATAAAGCTTTATCTAGAAACTTACTGAATAAGTCATTTTAAATATCATTAAGCTATTATCAAATAGTCATTTGTAGCTAACTAAAATATGTTGTAAGGGGTTGTTTGACATTTGATGAATGGTTTTGTGCAAAATGATTAAGTTGTCAGAATGATTAAGAGGCTCTTATGATATAGTGTAAAATGAAATATAATTGTTTGGTAATTGTGTACAATGAAATCATGGCTCTTAATGGTTAAGAGAGATCCAAGATACAAAATCATTCAGAGAGTTTTAGAACCATTAAAATGCAATTTTTTTTTGCCAAAAAAGATTCACCTCTTAACGATTCAGATGTTGCCTCTTAATGAAACTATTAAGAGGTAAACAAACAACCCCCAATTTTTATTAAGTTGCAAACAAACATACTCTTAACAAAAAGTAAAAAAAAAAAATTAAATACAAATAGAAATATCAAAAATACTTATTACTGAAAGCATCATCTCCAACATATTATTCAAAATGGAGAATCGAAAGTCAAGAATTTCAAAGAAAATTCACTTTCATCTCCCACAGCTTCTCCATTTTAGATATTACCATATTAATTATATTATTAAAATATTCAATACAATTAATAAAATATTATTTTTCTCTCATAAACATTTAATTTCAAGATTTCTCATTGGTAGGATTCTTTTTTCCTCTTTTACTGGTAATTTTTTCTGGAAGTTCTCCAAATTTGGAGAATTTCATCATCTTTTTTAGAAGCATCTCCAACAAATTTTTCAAGACGGAGAATTAAAAGTCACAACTTCTTCATTTTGGAGATTATAATATTCGATATCTCTTATAAAATATTATTTTTCTCTCTTGTACATTTAATTTAAAGGATTCTTATTGATATAAATAATCTATACTATATTATAAAGCATTTGACAAAAAACTCTTAAAAACCATTATTTATGCATGAAATACTATGTATTAATGCATATTACTTAAAATTTAAGATTACAAGTAAATTGTGCATAAGTACAACTTATTAAAGCTCCATTTTGAATCCATGTAACTGATAAACATAATAAAATACATGATAAACATCTCGTTTTAAATATAAAAAATCTAAAATATAATTACGATAATCATTGATTTATAACAGAATCATTTTCTTTATAAAAATTATATTGTTAAGCAAAAAATAAATTACTTTGCTATTATACCTAAATTAAATTATAATAAAAAATTGAATTAAAAAATTATACAAAAAAACGAGAATTTGATATTAATATCGATATATTTTTTCAAATTTATTTTTATTCAAAAATAAAAATATTATCTTTATCGGAACCACATAAACGCGTATTATATCAATAGAGACAATAAATAAAACGAAACATTAAAATGAAGATGCATCTCACTGCATTGCGCGAGTACCTTTCTAGTAAAAAATAAATTATATGTCACAAACAATCATTTTTTAAGAGTTCTTCAAATTTGGATAATTTTATCATCTCTCTCCCACTTTCTCAATTTTGAAAAAGGTTTTGAAGAATCTGTTGGAACAAATCATCAAAATATTCATTTTAGAAATGGTTTTATCCGTTATATAATACTAGAAGGGTACTCGTGCGATGCAAATAGATACATCTCGATTTTAATGTTTCATTTTATTTTTTGTCACTATCGATGTTATAATACGACTTTATGTGGTTTTAAGAAAACAATAATATATTTTTTTGAATAAAATATAAATTTAAAAATATCATAAAACTTTGAAAAATAATATCGATGTTAGTATCAAATTAGCTATTTAAAAGTTATTTTTTTGTGTAATTCTTTTAATTCAATGTTTTAATTATAACTTAATTTATGTTTGATAAAGAAGTAATTTATTTTTGGTTTAATAATATAATTTTTTATAAAGATAATATTAAGTATTCAGTTAGAATGACTATCTTAATTATACTTTAGATTTTTTTATATTTAAAATAAAATGTTTATCTTATTACAATTATGGATATCTGTTGTTAGTTACACAAATTAAAAAAATGAAGTTTTAATAAATTATACTTATGTTATAATATACTTGTAAACTTAGATTTTAAATAATATACATAAAAAATGATTTTTAAAGGGGTGTTTGGGATTGCTTATAAATACAACTTATTGACTTATTCCAGTATGACACAAGTAATAAACACTTTTGTGCGTTTGGATAAACAATTTCTATCGATGCCAAACCGGTAATAAGGAGTTTTTGAAGAAGTTAAACTTTTTTGACTTATAATAAGTTGATAAGTGCTTTTATAAAAAAATATAAATTGTTCTAAATAAACAATCCCAAATATCCCTAAAAAAATTTATCAAATATTTTATAATATACTATGGATGATATAAAAGAGTGGGAGAGATATACTTGTATATTCATAAAACACTGTATCTAATTTCAAAGAAACGTCGTCGTTGGGACGGGTGTGGGTCATGTATATGTGTTCTTTTCCCATCCTTGTTCATTTGTGCGACTAGCGATTTTATAGCAAAATACTCGACACCACTCAAACCCTTGCATCGTCACCCCCAAATCTCAGCCATAGAATCTCCTCGGACGACCTTCTACTACTCTATTATCCGGCAACATCTCTATATAATCCAATCCCTTCACCACCCACTCATTCAATCCCATTTCCACAACCCCAATAGCCGTCGATCTTTCTCTTTTGCGGCTTCCCGATTCACTCGTCGGAGAATTTACCAGTTGGGTTTCTATCCAACAGCCGGAATTGTTCGTCGGAGCTTCGAAAAAGATCAAAGTTTGTTGGGGTAAAACCCGGGATCACCAGTTGTAGACATCACGGCTATACACGGAGTAAGGCGGTCACTTGTACATGTCCGATCAGTACGAGGGAAGAACGCCATAGCTGTTGAAAGTAATCCTTCTACGCACGGCGGACGTGGGGCTTTGCCTTCTGAAGGCGGTAGTCCTTCCGACCTCCTCTTTCTTGCCGGCGGCGGTTTTTGCTCCACCTTTGTTCTGATCCTAGCCTAGGTCTTTCTAGGTTTGGGTTTCAATATATATCTATACACAATTGTATCGTTCTTGTTATATATTTCATATCCCCCAATTAATCGAAGAAGATGTTGAGGATCAAGAGGGTTCCTACTGTTCTTTCCAATTACCAAAAGGAAGAAGTGGAGGAAGGTGGTGCCGCCGGTGGTTGCGGTCGTAATTGCATGAGAGACTGTTGCCTTCCAGGTGTTTGTTAAATTGCTTTTCTTTTTTTTACCTCGAATTCCTTCTTTATCTTATTACAATTTGCGTACTTTATGTAATTGTTTCTTGATTTTTTAAGTCCTTATTGCTTTTCCAAGTAATGGTTAATAAATCGTTGTGGGGTTTTGATTTGATACAGGGGCAAAGCTACCTTTGTATGCTTTCCGAAAATCTGATAAGGTTGAATCCAGTGACAAAAAGGAGCCTCCTTTTGCTTTCTTGGATTCACTCCTTCTTGGAGAGGTAATATTCAAATCTAATGGTTTACTTTTGTGGGTTTCGATTATTGAATTAGGCTAAGATTGTTTGTTTTTACAGTGGGAAGATCGCGTGGAGAGAGGGTTGTTTCGCTATGATGTCACTGCCTGCGAAACGAAGGTAGGCATGAATTTTTTTTGTATTTCGTGAATGTTTGATAAGATGAACTAACAAAACAATGGCCTAAGGTTATGTTTGGCTACCATAAATGAGCCTATTGAAAAAGATTAGCCATAAGCTAGCTGATAAAGCCACTTTAAGTAGCTTTTCAATAAGTTTCAATGGCTTTTTTCCACCCTTTTCCCTATTTTGCCCCTTGTATTTTTCCAATTAGTTTCTTCAACATATATTTTTAGGTCACTTTACACTGTCATCTAGCTTATAAGCTAGTTTTTACCGAACAGGACTAGATTATCAGCTAGCTTATTAGCTAACAACTAATAGCTAGCTTAACAACTAATTTTCCAAACATTACACAATATCATCTCCCTAATCATATATGTAATTGAACAGGTGATTCCAGGAGATTACGGGTTTGTTGCTCAGCTAAACGAGGGTCGCCACCTCAAGAAGCGTCCAACTGAATTTCGAGTGGATAAAGTTCTTCAGCCATTCGATGGGAGCAAGTTCAACTTCACTAAAGTTGGGCAGGAAGAGATACTCTTCCAGTTTGAATCAAGTGAAGACGATGAAGTCAAGTTCTATCCTAATGCTCCTATTGATGTAGAACGTTCCCCTAGCGTCGTTGCCATAAATGTAAGTTATTTTGATCTTCTTGTTGGCTGTGTCTATTAAGATATTTAGACATATTTAGCGTCATATAAAGCCGATTTTGCTGTAATGAAAGTGGTTCCATAGTTAACCACATTGTAATGCAGTTTGTTAATTAATATTTTGTTGTTTGTAAATCGATAGGTCAGCCCAATTGAATATGGACACGTGCTTCTGATCCCTCGCATTCTCGAGTGTTTGCCTCAGAGGATTGACCATGAGAGCTTCTTGCTTGCACTGTACATGGCATCAGAAGCCAGGAATCCATACTTTCGTCTCGGTTACAATAGTCTGGGTGCATTTGCTACCATCAATCATCTTCATTTCCAGGTTCATATCTTTCTTGATCCCCTTAACATTTAATCTATCTTGTAATTGGATATGCATTTGTAAGCTTATGTATGTGTGTGTGTGTGTATATATATATATATATTCTTTTTTCACTTTCACACACTTCTCTCTAGCTGGTGGTTTTCATGGAAACAACCGCTCTGTTATTTTAGGATATAAGTAGGGTCTGCTTACATCTTACCCTTCCCAGACCCTACCTTTGGGTGGGATGTACTGGGCTCGTGTGGTTTGGGTCAGTATGCTATTGTTGAATATTAAATAGACCCAACGGAAACAATTGCTCTACACTCTTTAGGGTAGAAGTAAGGTCGACTTACATCTTACCGTCCCCAAACCCACATCCGGGTGGGATATACTGGCCTCGTTTGGGTAAAATCACATTGTAATTGATCCGGCACTTAAATGTCTAATAAGATAAGGAATTTAGGGCCTGTTTGTTAGCAGCTTAATGAGCTTAATGAGACTCATAGCTTATTCAGTCAGCTATACATGACTGTTTGGTAGTGGCTTATCGATAACTGAATAGGAGGGAGCTTTATGCAGAAAGCCAATGCCAAGATTTTTCCAAAACTGCCCGTCCCAATTAAAGAACACGCTCATTCTATTTATGAAGAAACCTCCCAAACAAAAACCTTCTCGTTCTTTACACACAGATTAATCCACATAGACGACTTTCTCCAGAAAGAACTTAATGAAAGACAACCAAACATCCCCTTACTGTGCCCAAATCAATACCATCATTTTTTTGTAATGATAACAAGGACAATTAGGAAATTGTAACTTGAGAACTTACCAAAAAACGATTCATGGAACAAAGAGAGTATATGATATGAAATGTATCAAACATATGCTAATTGTATATATACATATATATAATACATTATATATATTTTTCAGGCTTACTATCTGGCTGTGTCCTTTCCCATTGAGAAAGCTCCGACTAGAAAGATTACTGACTTCAATGGTGGCGTCACAATTTCCGAGATTCTCAAGTACCCAGTTAGAGGTCTCGTGTTTGAGGGTGGATGTTCGCTTGAAGATTTATCGAATGCCGTCTCTGATTCATGCATTTGCCTTCAAGACAACAACATACCTTACAACGTTCTCATCTCCGATTCCGGGAAACGCATCTTTCTCCTCCCTCAGGTATAAAAGCTTATTACTTTCTTCTTATTATATATGTTCTGTTTGGGAAACTGTTTGGGAAACTAGTCGATAAGGTAGCTGTTAGTTGATAAACTAGTAATATTTGGTAAAAAAAACTAGCTGATATGATAGATGAGGATGTGAAATGACCTAAAAGGAAATGTTGATAAATTAGTTGAAAAAATATGAGGGGCTTAATTGGAAAAAAACCTGCAGCTTGTTGAAACATTGCTTGAAGTAGCATTTCAAAAAACTAGGTTATACCTAACAAAACGGGACTCTTTCCAACTAGCCGATAAGTCAACTTTTAGTTGAAAAGTTAGCTGTCGGCTGATAAACTAGTAGTGTTTGGTAAAAACTACTTCCTCCATCCTAACTTAAGTGTCTATTACTATTTTAGTTTATCTCAAATTTAAGTGTCCACATTTAAAAGTAAATGTCTACTTTCCAATTCGACCCCTAAATATGAGATGGACAAATTCATTACTCCCTTTACTATTAAGGGTAAAGTTGTCATCTACACTTCTAAAATTGCATTTATTTTTCATTGTGGATGTTTATTTTCGAGGGGGGAGTTGTTGATAAGCTAGATGACAGTGTAAAATACTAAACTGATCTAAAAGGAAATATTGAAAAATTAGTTGGAAAAATATAAGGGGCATAATTGGAAAAAAGTGGAAGAAAAAAATCCCCTAGAGCTTATTGAAACGTTTCAAAAAGCCAGTTTATGTCTAACCAAATGTCAATAAGCAAAAAAAAAAAAAGTTATCTTATAGTTGCTGAATATGGATAGTTTTCACATCCAATTGATCTAATCTTTTATATGTGAATCGAATGGAAAAAACAGTGTTATGCCGAGAAACAAGCTTTAGGAGAAGTGAGCAGCGAGCTTCTCGACACCCAAGTGAACCCGGCAGTTTGGGAGATAAGCGGACATATGGTATTGAAACGAAAGGAAGATTACAATGGTGCATCAGAGGAAAACGCTTGGAGACTTCTTGCGGAGGTTTCCCTCTCGGAGGAACGGTTTCAGGAAGTGATAGCGATCATCTTTGAAGCCATCTCATGTGCGGTTAGCGAGAACGGGAGCTTGCCCGATGAGGATGAGCATGATCTTGAAGACGTTGATGCACTTAACAACGGGTCCCACCAAACGGCCATCGTGGCTGGGAAGCAAGAATGCCTAGTTCAGCACTAGGTGTAGTAGGGTCAGCATCTCGTTTATCGAGATGTGGTTCGTGTCTAGGTGTTTCGGACGAGTACCGATTGTCGGATAGTTTTGGTACCGGCTTTAAATAAGTTCATTCGGGTTCACTTTGTTGTTCAAGTTGGCTTAATGGGTTATGTATGAAACATTTGAAATGTGCAAAATTTCCAATATTGGTCTTGAAATGGGTGTTTGTTTCTATTACTTAGTGAGCATATTTTCCATAGGAACAAGTTTAATATAGTGTATGGAATAGAAAAGAAATATGGGTATAAAAGGTTCGGGTTTTTCAGGGTCGTCGGGCCGGACTTTAGGGTTTAAAGAGGGCTTAATCGGGCTTTTTTATGTCGATCTAAACTACATTTTTTCGGGGTTTTGGTTTTTCCAGGCTTATCTCTAACTTGGCTTTTAAAGAATTTTTTTTCTTGATCGGGTTTTGTTTTTAGTAAGCCAAAAGATGGTCGTGTTTTGGGGTTTAAAGAGGGCCCAATCAGGCTTTTTCATGTCGAGATAAACTGGATTGTTTGGGAATTAGGTTTTTTCGGCTGGCTCTAACTTGTCCTTAAAAAGAAAAAATTGTCTTCATCTGGTTTTGCCTTTCAGTAAGCAAAAAAAATGTCAGACCTTTTTTTAGGCTTGCTGGCCGGGGGGCTATAAGGTTTTAAGAGTACCTGATCGGGCTTAATTGAATTTTTTTGAGACTTAGTTTTTTTTTTAAATATAGATGAATACCCAGTAAGATATATGATTAAAAACCCGTTATAACAGTAATGATAGAAGTATAAGTGTGTAACTGTCTTTATAGTTGCGGTACATCTTTATTTCGTTATTCTTGACTTCATATTATGAATCTATGTGGTTTTGAGATAGTGAAAGAGTATTATATTGGTTATCAGTTTTGTGGAGTATCTTGTTGTATCAGTAGAGCTCAACACTTTTCTTGTATTTGAACATGTTTGTCGGTTGATTATGAGTTAGTTTACAAGGTTCGAATATATTAATAAGTTGTACGTATGTAATAATAATAATAATAATTTGTAAATATTGTAAAATGAATATACTAAAATATAAATAACTAAATAATATTTGGTTTAGCGGTATGTGAGTTATTGGCTTTCTAGGACGTCAAGGGTTCAAATCTCACCAAAGATGAAGATGATGTGTGAGTTTATTTGTTTTATTTGCGGTATATAAATATTATATACTTAAAATAATATGTATATATTAATAGGGCTGTAAACGAACCGAACGTTCAGTGAACCGTTAGATGGAAAGTTCGTTTATGTACGTTAATTTAATAAATGAACGAACATGAACAATTTTTTTGTTCGTTTAGTTAAATGAACGAACATGAACAAGAGTCTCGTTCGTTTATTTATGTTCGTGAACGTTCGTTCATTTACAGTTCGTTTACGTTTGTTGATATTCGTTCGTTTATATATTAAATTTAATATATAATCTTTTATTTATTTACTTTGAATTCAAATAATATTTATCTATGTTCGCTTAGCCCGTTCATTTATGTTTACTCGTTTAGCATGTTAACGAACGAACACAAAGATTTCCGTTCATTTACCATTCGTATTTGTTCGGTTAAGTTAAACGAATGAACATGAACAAGTCTCTGTTCGTGTTCGTTCGGCTCGTTTACAGACCTATATATATATAATATACACACTGTAGTTGGAATTCTAGGAACCATATAAAAGATCTGAAAGAAAAAATAGAGTAAACCACAAATTTGACCTTGTGGTTTCTTAAAAGTTAACACCTTTTGTTCTTATAGTTTCAAAATCTATATATATCTATAAAGCAGAATCATGATATGCTGACGTGGCATCTCCTCGACGTAGAGATCATATTTTCCTCTTTTTTCCACATTTTGATTTTTTTTCTTAATAATTTTGCAAATTAATGTTCACATTTAACTCAAAACCCTTCCCCTTCTCTTGGTACGTTTCAACTCTATTTATGTGTACATTTAACTCAAAAAACCCTTCCCCTTCTCTTGGTACGTTTTAACTCTATTTATGTGTACATTTAACTCAAAAAACCCTTCCCCTTTTTTTGGTACGTTTCAACTCTATTTATGTGTTCTCCATCTCTATCTCCATGTACGAGTTATAAATTACTGGTACGCTCTTCGCTCTTCTTTTCCATCTCTCATCTAAAAACCACTTTTCCTCTTTTTTCCACGTTTTGATTTTTTTTCCTTAGTAATTTTGCAAATTAGTGTTCACATTTAACTCAAAAAACCCTTCCCTTCTCTTGGTATGTTTCAACTCTAACATTTAAATCATTCAATCCTTGGTTTTTTCTCTAAATCCCTCAATCTTTAGGTTTTTTTCATTTATGTGTTCTTCATATCCATCTACGAGTTATAAACTATAGGTACTCTCTCTGCTCTTCTTTTCCATCTATCATCTATGGCAGAAGAATATACACAAGTTTATCAATATATGTAATAAGACATTGGAATATGGATTAAAGAGAAGTCTAAGACATTGGAACATGGATTAAAGAGAAGTCTCCATTGAAGCTTTAGAATTTTGTGAGAATTTTGATTATTTTTTCCTTTTGTTGTGGATTCACTTAATTTTTTATTTATTATGTTTTCTTATAGTTTCTTAATTTGTAATTTTGTAAGAAAAAAACACCAACGATAAGATACATTTTTAGGCATCGCAATACTAATTTTTAGAAAAAACACAAACTTTGT